ATTTAACATGAAACTAATCAGATGGTGCTCTGTGGCGCGGCTGAAAATGAACTGCGTCCTGAGTCGTGGGCGGGCACCGCCGACAGCCGCCGACTTGCAGCGCCGGTGTGTGTATCCTGATAGAAACCTATGTTTTGAATTCTAAAATGCATGGCGCGGCACGCCGCCGAGCGGCACTTTTGGTGTGTGACCTGCTTTAGGCTGTTAAACATATGAACATAGTATCCGTGACATCACCCATAGGTTTCTGAAGAGTGCAAATGAAACCACATATAGGCACCATTTTGTTTGCACGTCATCGCGCTAACCATGGTTACCAAAAAAGGGCAAAGATGTGGAGCATCAGTGGAGATGCCTGCTAGCATTTTGCTTAGACGGGCTTGTCTTTGGGAGAAACTCTTAATACTTCATTACCTGCAGCTCGTTTGTGTTCTGACCTCTGACCTGAGCAGTAAAGTGTTTAGTCTTTTAAAAACACTGTTATAGTACTTTGAGCCACTAAACATTGTTCTTATGATGTTTTTCTACAGGAAGAAAACACAAATTACTTTTAAATACTTCAGATATAGTCTGTGTTAGTAAAGGCAAGGCTATTTATGAAATCCAGGCATAAAACTGTATGACAACATTTCAGATGACTGTTCTAGAGCCTACAGCTGATCAATCTGTCAGATTCTGGAGTGCATTACAGGTCTAAAGAAAATTATAAATGATCTTAAAACAAAAACATTTATAGAGATGGTATACAAGTATATAATTTCACTCACCTGGGAAATGGAGGCCACGTGAATGGTTTGTGAGCGCAATTAGGTGCACACAGCATGCCATATCATCTGATAATTGTAGGAAATAATTCCAAAAAGTAACTGACTGTGTAAAGCCACATAAAACACAACAAAAATACGATGTATATGCAGAGTTCAGCAGCTAATCAGCCGGAATCAGCTAAGGGGACATGACGGTGATCACCAAGACCTAGCTGTCACTCTGTCACTAAGTGGCCATGCCCTTATTTATGCAGACTTAATATAACTTAATATAAACAAAACGAAAAAAATTAAAAAAAATTATTGAAAAAAATCAGCCCACTCACAGTTGTCATAAAGGGTAATATTAGCTATATGAACCAAAATCATTCTTTGTACCAGGCTGTAAATACCTGTTTTTCTGCTGTAAATTTGGCCATTTTTACATTAGAGTCAATAGAAATTTTCTTTATTATGGAGCCAGTACTAGAGAAAATTAAAATTTTTTGCAGTTTCACTTTCGTATTAGCTTCATGAGAGAAAGCGGGATGCTGCCACTTGATTGACACGTCTAGTCATGTCGACAGAAAAAGATTTACAAAGAAATTGAGATGAAAAGATCTGTTCCAACTATCTGTGATCAGCTGCAACTCAAGTTTTAAAACAGTTCCTGTTTTTAATAAAGATTGTAAAATCGATATGCAATTCATAATCGCTGAAATCACCACAACTGCATAGTGTCAGTACGCAACTATAAACAAGTAGTCCTGGTTTGTGGAAGTTAATGTAATGTGTAATTTTATAGCGCATTTATTTTGTATGGCCATTAGGGTTGTGCCGATAGACAATGTCATCGTCAATCGCCGATGGCCAACAAACTTCACGATGCTGAGCCGGGATCGCCGCACATTTATATTGAAATATAACTTATTATTTGCATGTCATCTTAATAGCAAAAACGGTCTTTTCATGAGCTGTGTTAAATGTTACATAAAGCTGCCGCTTGCACGGCTGACGGCATCGTGAGGATTACATTAAGGATTATACAGCACCTCTCATGCTTAAAATGTGTAGATTCAGTGGCAAACGCTGTTATCTGCAACCCCCATCCCAAAGACTTTACAGTGAATGGCTTTAGTTTTTTTCATAACATTTCATAGTTTTTTTTATCCACTCTTGGAAACGTCTAAATGGTGGATTAACATTCAGCACATGATCACTAATAAGATGAGCCATTATTAGTAACTTTAAATAAATCTGTCAGCGTTATTTTCATTCTCTCATCTTAAGAGCTTCACATTTTCGCAGTTGTACCTCGTGTTATCTGAAGGCAGATGGCATTGACTGAGTGATTGACAGCTGATATTAACCAATCATTCGCGTTCAGTTCTAGAGCAGTGGGCCAATAAGAAGAGTACAAAGGCGGGGGAAGTAATGCAAGCTTTTTTTTCTTCTTTTTTTTTAGACTTTTTTTTACTACAAAATAAGTGATTGACTGGTGGTCATTTGTGGGCAACTTTTATTATTTATGGTTTGGTTATGGGTAAAGCAAAGACCATGTGGGTCAAGTAGTGAAAAAAATAGGCTACAATTAATTTGTTATGAATTATGAATTAATTGATATGTAACAATAACCCCCGCCTACGCCATGTTTCACATTAGACATCATACAATGCAAAATTGGTCAACATCGGCCAACCCTAATGGCCATACACCCAAAGTGCTTCACAATCATGAGGGGAGTCCCTTCACACCACCACCAGTGTGCAGCATCCATTTGCTGTGACGGCAGCCTCAGGACAACGGCGCCAGTTCACTTACTATACACCAGCTATATATATATATATATATATATATATATATATATATATATATATATATATATATATATAATGCTTGCGCTACTAATGTCATATTAAAACACCAAGTATAACATTTTCATGACTTATAGGCCAACATATGGATTATTTAGTTATAGTCGCAACCTTATTTAAAATGATTACTTTCATTTATTTTGAGGGGGAGTTTAATAAACTGAAAATGCAGCCCATAATAATTCGAAACTGCAGTCAATCCAATAACTAGTCAAGAGAAATGTGTGAAATCACTGATTGTTTGTTTGTTTTCTTCTGCAGGTGGACGTGCCCAGAGCAGAGCTGGTGGATGAAGTCAAGAAGCGGACATCGTAGTCTTACAAACAGTCAGCATATAGACAGCGGAGAACTGTGGAGCTATTTAACACACGTCAGTTACAGTTGCGTCAGTCAAACATGTACACTAAACGAGGAAACATTCATTGCATTGCCTGCAGTTTTAAAATGTGATTGGGTTATGTCAATCTATCAATAAATGAGTAAACCAGGTCTTTTCTTTGTCTTAAATGTCGCTTTTTTTTGGGCTAAATCACATAATTGAGCATCTACGTTGCTTGTAGCTTCTCTTTTGTTTGCTGACAGTCAAACATACTGTTATTTACAGCTGGAAAATAATTTCTAATATTTTTTCAATAGACATAATAAATATTTAGGCTAGGGCCGCACGATTCGGAGAAGAAAAAAAAATGGAATTGCGATTTAACATGTATGTACTATAATTTCATAAAAGAGCTACAGTGAAAAGACCAAGCATAAGAAGTAAAAAATGTTGCCATTTTTTCCCAGTAAAGTTGTCAGTTGTCTTGGAAACTGAACTACAGTATTCATTAAATGAATTATATTTAAAACTTTACATCTTTCACATTGTTTAGGATAATGTGCTTAAACTATATGCTTGTTACCATATTTGATAGCGAATCGAAATAGTTGCACCCTTTCAAATCGCTATTATGGTTTAAAAACGATAAACCGTGCAGGCCTAATTCAGGCCATTTTTCATAAAAACAGATCTTGTAACATAAAATCATTGTCTTAAATCTGAATTGTGATTACATTTTTAAAAATGCATTATGGAGAAGATCCAGGCTCTGGAGAAGAGAACCGAGGTCTGAGAACCTTAAAACAATAGTAATTAGCTGTAGTATAAACAAATAAATAAAATAAAATAAAAAAAGTCAATTGAACTAAATAAAATATATTATTAAAAATAAATGAAATGAATAAATTAAAGTAAAATAAATAAATTAAAATAAATATAAATAAAATTGATTAATAAAAAAATTTATCCAATAAATAAAAAATTGAAATAAGTAAAATAAATGTAATTAAAATAAATAATTTAAGTAAAATAAAAATAAATTTAAATTAAATTAATAAAAATATTATATAATAAATTAATTAAAAATTTAATTTTTATGAATTAATTTTATTAAAATAATTGAATTGAATTAATTAAAATAATATAATTAATAAAAATGTAATTAAAATTTAATAAAAATTAACAAATTTACAAAAAATAAATTGAAAAAAAAATAAAATAAAGATAAAATTACAATTATAAAATAAATTTTAAAATGAAATAAAATTAATTAAAATAAAATTAACTTATAAATGAAAATTAAAATAAAATTTAAATAAATTTAATAAAATGAAATTAAAATAAATAAAATGTATCAATAATATTTTTTTTTAAATTATAATAAAATAAGATCAGTTAAGAAAAGTAATAAAATGAATTAAAATAAATAAAATATATACAAAAAATATATAATAAAATGAACTACAATAAAATAAATCAATTAAAATAAAATAAAGTTTTTTTGTGGAATAACATCTTAAACATCATAAATATATTTTCTTCAAAAATTAAGATTTAGAAAGAAAGCATTTTTATTGCCCATTTACCCTACCCATATGATTATACTTTTTTTATACTAAAAATTATACTTATTAAATGGTCAGTGTAATGCATCTCAATCTAATGCCATTTAATATTTATGAAGTAATACTCAAAAGGTTTTTATTGATTACCTTCTAGAGATTATTAGTTACAATTTTTAAAGCTTTGTTATGGAGCCCTATAACCCAAGCATTATAGTAAGAGCAGAAGTTGATGGACACCTTCATGCTGTCCCAACACAAATTGATTAAGTTAACTCTTTTTACAAATTTAAGTTGATTGAACCAAACGAAGTTGTTCCAAAAAATAATTGTGTTGAGCTTAAAATAAGTAGTTTGAATAAGCAGCAAAAATAATGGTGTATTACCAGTTTAAGATCCACTCATATCTTTAAATATTTTCAACAGGTGTTTATTAACAGTGCATCAGATACAGTACTAGACTGTAGTGAACAATAACCTGCAGGAATAACATTTCTCGAACAACTTATTTATTGTACAAAAGTCATTTATAGTCAGTACAACCCATCAAACAAGGAAACACAAGGAGCACACCATGCAAAAAGAACAATCGTGACAAACGCAAACCAAAGTGAAGTCGAAATACAGTGAAAAACACTCAAAAGAAAAGCGTGAAAACATGCAGTCATCCTAATATGATGAGGCTGACTAAAACAACTCAATTATTAATATTACATAGTTAAAATATTATAAAACGACGAGAACATAAAACTTCAAACCACTAAAGTCAAGAGCTTGAAAAAAATAAAATCAAATAAAAGTAATACTGCCTTGGTCACCTTTTTTTTTCTCTTCATCAACAGTAAACTAAATGCTTATTTTTCATTACATTTCCACATATTCATCATCTATAACCGGAACAGTACATAATACTGAACGTAAAACTGATCACAATCACATTCGATCAAGCCATAATCTGACATTCTTAGAAAGGCCGCAAATTTGAGACTCGGCACAAGGTTTGGATCACCTGTTCAGCGGCGGCCCGGTAAACTTCACTCTTCATGGCTCGTGCGCTGGTGCCTGGCAGGATCTGGACGAACCCATACAGGGGCAGCGGCAGGCCTGGGATCAGCACTTTGAAGGCGAAGTAGAGGAATCCGTCAGGAGCCGCGTGATGGAAGTGGACTTCATATTGCGGAGAGCCGAGTCTGTTGACCTCGCACATCCACTGCAGATGAGACACGGCGTCGAGGCTAATGGGGGATTGGGGAGCCATCCCATCTCTCGGCCTTATGGGGAGCTGAGGAACCATCTCATCTCTCTGCCTTATGGACGATTGAGGAATCAGCTCATTTCTTGACATTATGGTGGGTTGAGGAATCATCTCATCTCTCTGCTCACTGGTGGTCGGACCCCCAACAGCCCGGAAGAGAGGAAGCAGAGACTGGTGAGCTGGGACGTCATAATGCAGGAGCGATGGTTTAGAAAGCGGCTTCAGAACAAGTGGGGTTACGCAGCTGTCTTCCTGGGGAGTGTCCTCGACACGCTTGGACTTGGAGAAGGAAGTCCATCTGACGGTGATGGAAATGCCGTACCGGTTCCGAAAAGCTAGAAAGACGTAGGAAATAAACGGTTACAAAAGAAACTCTTCACTTTTTTTTGGAAATGGGCTTAATTTACAACTCCTGTAGAGTTCATCTGTTGAGTTTTAATATTATTTAATCTATAAAGCTGAGCTCTGCAATAAAATCCAGCTGCAGGCCCGCAGAACCACACACGTTTTAGGCAACACAATCTGGCCCACGCAATCTAGGCAAACCATATATGGTTATTACCGATGTTAATATTATTAACGTCTTTTTGTCCATCGTCATCGATATATTTTGATATATATATGGGTAATAAATATTGTACACAATAAACAATAGTGTTTACTTCATTTCACAAAGATGCGATCGAGATAGCCGAATGGGGAGCGTTGTTTCCGATCGCCATTCAATATAATAGACTGAACAGTTTTCTATCAGTCATTATAGCTGATCAGTCATTATTATCTGACAATAATATGGCAGATCCTCGTTTGCTGGCCTTGCTGAACGATCTAAATTGGACAGGTTTAATTTATGTAATGAATTAATTTATAATGAAGGAAATAATAGCACTTTAATATAGGAAATAATACAGTTTATATGTAATAAAAATCTTTTTACATGTAACAAATGTATAACACTATATTAATATTTTACTCAAGCGATTTAATAGTGTTTATTTGCTTAATTTTCTAATTACTTTTTAATTAATGATTTCCCACATTAAATACTGTAGTAATTTATAGTAAGCAATATATTGTTTTTAAACCCACATTTAGCAATAGAAACAAATTAACTATTAATAATTAATAAGTATATATATATATATATATATATATATATATATATATATATATATATATATAACTAACAGCTGTGACAGTCTAGTAAAAGATAGTAGTTAATCAGTTTATAACTATGTTATTTATTGTTTAAATGATTAACTATAGTAATTAATTTTAATGTGACATTCTTTGCTTTTTATATTTTACAACAAAGTGATTTTAACCAAGTATAATAAGATTAAGATCCTGAATTTGTTTATTACACTAAATCTTACAATTAGACTGTCTATTGTTTTCTTTGTTTATGTGGACACATGAATAAAGTCATAATTGTCTTTAACCAATTATTTTTATTTACATAATTTGAGTTCACAACTGCAGAGATGTTAAAATGATCGTTACGATATAATAATAATAATAATAATGATTGAAAAGGGAACCCATATTTGTGAAATTTAATTGGTGGCGATAATGCTAAGGAGTTAGTTAGTTACCATATATGGTTTGCCTAAATCATGTGTGCCTAAAACGTGTGTGGTTCTGCGGTTCTGCAGCTTAATATATCTCGAGCTCTGGGTCTGTTGAGAGCACTTTTAGCTTAGCTTAGCATAAATCATTGAATCGGACTAGACTGTTAGCATCTAAAAATAAAGGCAGTTTTCCTATTTAAAGCTTGACTTTTCTGCAGTTAGATCATGTACTAACTACTAAGACAAAAAGAAAAAGCTAAAATGTTTTACGTTCTAGGAGTTTTACTGTTTTTATATTTATTCAGCCAATCTCTGGGTCTTTTAGCTTAGCTTAGCATAAATCATTGAATCGGAGTAGAACAGGGCTATTTAATTAGTTTGTCATGGGGGCCAGTTCATGAAACGCATCCCAAATGAGAGGCACGAAGGATATGACTTGCAAGATAAGTGATGACACAGCAGCAATAGAATAGCCCGTATGCTGTATTTTTGCTCCTTTTTTATTTTAGCATTTTTTTTAAATGCATGACATTAAAACACGGTTATGAATATATTAAAACATGTGCTTGTTTGTTGTAAAAATGCGTAATAATGACAAAAAAAAACTAATTTGTGGATTTTCTTACTTCCGGGTGCAGCCATGCTGCAGTTGTGGCTGGTGTATTCTGGGAAATTTTCTTACCCCTTGGTTTTGAGTGTGCTCCTGAAAAATCTCCTTTCGAAGGGGTGTATAGCCCTTCCCCTTAGCCCCACGCCTTCAAGCTAAAGAGAATTGGGGCAAGGGGAAGGGCTAAGGGGTAAAATTGGGATTGGGCCATAAAATATGAAGTAAATCATTGACTAATCTAATCTTATTTTATCCCACAGAACCACAGAATTTCGCATGCTCAAACTCTAGAATGACTGCGGCTTAACCTCGCTTGCTATACACACAAAACAAAAAAACATAAACAGAAATCACAAATGATTTTTTTGTAAAGCTATTAAGCTCAGTAACCTGGATTTTTTATCAAAGCGTGTATATTTGAGGTTATAATGCACAAGTTCGTAGAGGACCTGTGGATTCAGAACTTTCATTGCTTTGATTCTAATATTGCTGTAATTTATTTATTTTTTTGGTCTATTATTATAAAATATCTTTTTCAGTACCTGAAAAACAACTAATGAGAACGTACTTTGTGATATACAGGCATATTTGCTTATATATGGAGGCATTTCCTTTAGGTATATTTTGAATTTAACGGTCCCATGAAATGCTTTAAAATGTGCCATTTTTGTTCGATGTTTGATGTAATCAAGTGAAACAAGAAAAGAGGGTGAGAAAAACAGACAATAGTGTTTTGTTTTATCACTGCACTGCCAGTAAGAGTGGTTGAGCTCAAGCGCATCAAATGGAAAGCGTCTTGAAGGGGGCGGGGCAAGTCAGATAATAGAGAGCATTTGATTGGTTATGATTTGATGAGAAACTGTAGTATGAGGTGACGAGAATAAATACCGTTGATCTATTTAGGCGGAAGTGACAAACTACAAGCTTCCTTTTATAAATGTTATTATCTCATAAATGCAAATTTTATGTTTTGGAGCAAACTAGCTTATAGATATCCTAAAAACATTACTGCTACTAACATCAAAAAAACTTGATTTTAATTTCATGGACTTTTGAGCAATTTAAACGTTAATTAAAACATGTTCATTTCTAATCCTCCATACTGTGTATTCAACATTCCTTAGAAAAAAAATCCATATCCCAGCATACCTTCCACGAGCACTTTCTTAGCCATGGATGCGGCGTAATGGGACGTGTAGTTGACTAGAGCCACAACCTCTTTCCCTTTGGGCCCCGGTGGCTTGAGCAGGACGTCCTCTACACCGTCAGAGAGCATCTGGAGCACCATCAGCAGCTTCGATTCATTCATGCTGACGGGCAGATCCCCCAAACGCAGCTGGCGCTTCTCGGTGCTCCTGCGCACGGTCAGGCAGCCCCCCTCCGGCAGCCGGTACTGATGCAGCGTGGTGACGGCAGCCGAGGCTGTAAGAGGGTCACCGTACTTAGCATAGGCGAAGCCCCGGGTCTGCCCGCTGAAGTTCATCATGAGGCGAAACTCGTAAATGGTGCCGATGCTCTGGAAGAGAGGGATCAGGCGGTCCTCGTACACGTCGTTCGGGATCTGACTGATGAAAACCTCACAGCCCGAACCAGGAGCAGGACCCTGCCAACCTGGAAGAGGAATAAAAGAGGGATAAAATGAGGAATTGTTTATCTTTGAGGCAGAAACAACACTGAATAGGCCTAGATTTAAAGTGCTGGTTTCCCCAGGAATTACTACCCTCATGTCGTTTCAAACCCAAGGCCTTCATTCATCTTTGAAATACAAATTAAGATATTTTAGATGAAATCCAGGAGCTCTCTAGCCCTCAGTAGACAGCAAGGTTCCAGACTCAGTGCCAAGAAAGTGGTTCAGTTGGAATAGTATGAAGTTATGAGAAAAATTGTTTGCACATAAAGCAATATTGACTTCATCCAAAGTATACATCAGCAGCGTTAATGAGTGCAACCCACATAAGGAGCGCAATGTTCATGAATGTGCTCCCTGTATTGATACTGAGGAGAAGAACTGTTGAATAAAAGTTATTTTGTTTTATGTGAACCACTGAAGGCATATGGTCTGTTTAGAGGTAGTTTTCATTATATCCTGTCTATGGAGGATGAGGGAGCTCTCAGATTTAATCTAAAACATCTGGCCTGAAGACGAGTAAAAATCATTGGTGGTTCAGAAGGATGTGATGGTGAGTAATAACAACTTTCATCTGTGAGTGCAATAACCATGTAAAGTAACAATTTGCAGAATAGTTAAACCAAACAACTACAGACGTTAGCAAAGTTAAACTTCAACATTTTCTCACATTATCACAGTTTATTTGCAACAGTTTAGAAAATAGCATTTTAATATGACGAGACTAACTGATGTTGAAATTTTCAATGAAGTTATACTATACTTGTACAGTTTTGCATTCATATTTGCGGAGCACTTAGTTTCAGCATGGTTACAACTACAAGGCATTAAGACATAGTTCATGAATAGATTCGGGTTCATATAGGGTTAATACTAGGCATGTGCCGGTAAAAGATTCTGACAGTATGATAACCTTGGATAAAATCTATCACGGTATTGTGCTCACTGCTCTAAAATATTCTTTTTAAATGTCGAGGTAAAAAACACAACCCCTTTGAAACCAATTAATTTTATTTTTTGAACGATTCATGATATTTTGGAGCAGTAAACATGTCAGGCTAAATAATTAAAATAAGTTATTGACTTCTGCTGCCTTTGTTGTTTCAAAAACACGCATTTCTTTACAATTTAAAACAGCATCTTTGGATATTTTTTTCTGCTGGAGATACTGTTATCCTAAAAAAAAAAAAGTAAATAAAAAATAATAATCTTACACGTACCTTAGGAACGATATTACAGAAAATTTTGGCGGTTTTAAAACCTTGACTTTTCCAGTATACCTTGAAAACGGTTATCGTTCCATGCCTAATTAACACTGGAATTCCTTGAAAATGCTTACATTTTAATCTAGTGTTTAAGGTTTGAAAAGTGCTTGAATTCTAGATAAAGTCTTGAAACTGTTTAAAAATGTAAATTTGTTGCTATCATAAATGTATCTTACCAAGTAGGGAACAATAATTACCCATTTAAACAAATCTTTTTTTTGTGTGCCTATAGCATGATCTGCTTTGAAATTTAAATGTATATAAATTTATGATGAAACACATTTAAGATGAGAGTAAATCACATGTTAGAAAGTGAATGAGAGCAATCTGATGTTGGATTTGGGGCAAACATGCCATCAATTTTTTCCTTGACTACTATATGTGATGTAGCAATTTACAAATGTACTGTACATACTTCAACTGTAAAGTCAAATCAAATCACTTTTATTGTCACATCATCAGCAACACGTGTGCTATGATGAGTGCAAAGCTTAGTGCCAGAAAAGCTTAGTGCCAGAAAAGTTTACAAATGCACCTAGAATGTGCTTGAAAGGGGCTTAAACTTGAATTTAAAATGTGCAAGAACCCTTTAAATAATAAATAAATAATACATTATTAAAATTATGAACAGGGTTAGATTGAAGAAACCCTATTGATATACAGTCAAACTAAAAATTATTTAAACACAGTCAACATCTCACATTATCATGGATTATTCCCTATAGTTTACTTAGTTAAACAGTCATAAATTCATCTTGATAAATGTCCAACTACTCTGAAATCCATTTCAAAACGTACCTTTCCAATCAATCAGACAACTACTATGACAGTATTTACACAACAGGTTCTTACACACACACACATGGTTAGCTGTAACTTCAAAGCTTCATCCAAGATAAAACATCTTAAATGTAATATAATAAAGGAAGACGATCATAGATGTTGGAAAGGAATTATCAAATTGCCAAGGTCAGACTGAAATAATTAGGTAGTTTATAAACTGCATTAATGTGATGATGACACATTTCACCGTCCATCAAGCTCCAGGCACATCAAGGCAAAAGATAAAGGCGAATGCTCTTCCTCTTGACATGATCCTACAGACGTATAACAGTTTATGAAAACATCACACGATAAATACTATTACTCATGAAAACATCATAAAATAAACACCAACCAGAGACCAGATCAAAGAAGAATAAAAACTAGCTGAGCTGAGGCTCTGTCGGCAAGTTCATGATTTTTGCATTAAAAAAAGCTTAATAAAACCCCTGAAAAGGATTTTTGTTTTACTTCAGAAGACATTAAACAATTACAACAATACATGAATAAATAAATAAATAAATGCACTCTTCTTTAAGCAAACAACTGTTTTTGTAAAAGAGTGAATCATGTAAACCTTACATTCTTTTAAATGAAATTATTTACAATTAGGCATGGGACAATAACTGGTTTCAAGGATTATCACTAGGGGTGTAATGGATCACGGTTAATCCGTGATTCGAACGGATCACAACCCGTAGTTTCAAAACACACATGACTCACAGAGTAATATATTTTTTTACTTGTACTTGTCATTCAAATCACATGTAAAGCATTTAGGCTTTCCTTTAAAATATAATGATGATAGAGATAGTTGTGGTAGGTTATTCAGGATGTGGTGGGTTTCTAAGGTTATTAAAGGTGTTTTCTGTCACAACTTGTTTAGCCTGCATTAATGCATTCAGTGTAAGCTGCATGATAAATCATTAAAAGATCGGGATCTCAACATCCACGCAACAAATTATTAATGATGGTGATTTGAATACGTTTATTAATCCTAAGAGATTAAGTTTAAGTTTTTTGAGTTATTTATGAAGTTACAAACAGTCAAATAACACAGAAGTATTGGGATAACAGTTTATAGTTTATATAAAACTACTGCTGTTTATGGTAAAGATTAAAATCACCGTCATATGCATTTAACGACGCTCAAAAATTAAATTTGTAAGCAGAAATGACATTATTTAACTAATAGGTGGCGATCAAAATTATGCCACTGAGTAGTTCTTTTAATATGATACATCTAGCAATAAAGTTTTATGAGTGAATAATTCAATAATTTATTAAAAATGAGACTAAAAATGGGTTGCACAAATTATAACCCCGGTCTCACAAACAAGGTTTAAGGCTAGTCAAGATTAAATTGCATGTTTGAGCTGTCTCAACTCAAAATAACTTGTAGAGAGATGTCTTAAATATGTCAGTGTCATTTTTTTTGTCTCCAGGTGCACATCAGTAATATTTTTCTAAGGCCATTTTTATAAATTTGTCTTAAATAGCCTAATTTAACTAAGGCCTAGTCCTGGCTTAACCTAAGCCCTGTTTGTGAAACTGGGCCATAATGTTAGATTTCTACATATCAGCAACAGTCGTAGTAACAGTGAATTTTACACACTACTGAGTATTTTACCATTTATTTTAAATCCGCTAATTATTTCTCATTTTATTTGTAATAACATTACAGGTTTTAAGTTCTGTTTGTTAAATCAAAAAGTTGTCTAGCAGTACTGTTTTTGTAATAAATGGAAACCAAATTACATTTGTCTCCTTCCCTTTTTGGCTGATCCGAAAGATCAATCCGCAAAAAAACATAAAGTGATCCAAACCGTGAGATTTGTGATCCATTACATCACTATTTACCATGGTTTGGAAAAGCCTAGGTTTTAAAGCTGCAGAAAAATCTGTTATGATATATGAAAAAGATATATGCCCGATGTTTTTATGTGATTTCTACAACTATTTTATTTCGTTTATTAGGGCAACAGTATCTCTATTAGGAAACCCATACTGGTCAGTCAACAATTCAGAAAACATCTGAAAAACAAAATCTAAACCAACATCCATGCATGCTTTTGACCTGAACAGTGGCGTGGATTACTTTATATCCACAGAAAAGAAAGATATCCAAAGATGTCTTTTCAAGTCAATTATTTATTTAAATTATTTTGCCTGACATGTTTACTGTTTCACCATATTTTAAATGTTCCTTTAAATAAAATATATTGTGATCAATGGGGAAAAAAGGTTGCTATTTTTAGCCAGACATTTAAAAAGAACATATAACAGAGCAGTAATTACAATACTGTGATATTTTTATCCAGGTTATCATCCGTCAGAATCTTATACAGGTGTTCTGTTGATTGGTCCTACTTTTTCAGATAGTCTGAAGCTGCGGTCACACTGGGCTTTTCTCCCCATAGACTTCCATTCATGCGTCAGACAGGAAACGCGGGATCATGCGTCAAGTTTCGCAGGTTGCTGCGGTGCAAAGTTCAAGCTTGGTGACCTCTGACCTGCGAAATCGCATCACTTGACTGCGTGAGACCAATAGAGGATCAAAACATGACCTCTCTGAACAGTGAATTTAAAACATGGAGCAATCGCTCGCTTTTTTAAATGGCTAATAATCTTGTTTAATCCCGCCCCTTTTCGCAGCGCTGTACGACAGAATTTCGCATACACAAAGGCTGTTTCTCAATTCCAAGAACGCAGAGAATGGACTTGCGTTCTTTTAGAGTGCGGTCTTGCCAGGTGTCCTCGGAAGAACAAACTCAGGAGACCGCGAGGGCAGAGAACGCGTCCTTTGAGAAATGGGATGCTGCGTTCTTCCTGATGGTCATGTGACCTTCACGTGTTTTAAATGGAAATTATTTAAACATTACAGCACTCATACAACGATTTATGGTTTTCCCCTCTTCAAAATATATACTTTGCATAAAAACATTAGAAATATACTCTGCACAATATAAATAAAACAGATTTTAATACGAATTTCAGCAAACAACTCTTAATGTGTTTATTCCTTTATTAAGATGTTCATGTTAATGTTTACTTTCACCGTTTCATTTAGGGAAACTCCTGAGGTAAATAAGTGATGTCTCTAAACTTTAATAATAAATCTAAATAAAATGCAGCGCTTCCCACCTCCAGTCGAAATGACTTCTGGGACTTCCAGAGCGAGTTCGGTGCTCAAGTCAGCATCAGTGCATCCTCGAAATCAAGAACACATCCGGGAAGTTTCACGCGTCCTCCGTACTTGCGGTCTTGAGTATTGGAACTGAACTTAGGCAGCTGATGATGACGTTTCACGAGAACACGAGGACGCAAGACCGCTGAAGAACGCATATTGAGAAACAGCCAAACTCTAGTGTGACCGCAGCTTTACCTCCCATTCAAAAGGTAGGTAGCACATTTTGATGACGCAATATGCTACCCTTCAGATTTTGCTACCAACTTTTAAAGTGGAGTAGTGTGATATAAAGCTTTAATATCGCCCTAACCCCAACCTAAGAAACATTCAAATACAGTGCTGGTAGCATAATCTGATGTCAGGACACAGGCCCATGCATATTTACAATTAACAATATGATAAAATATTATTAAATTTATATAACAACTCACTTTAAGAAGTATGAAAAAAGACAACTAGACTGCGAGATTTTAACATTTTTTAAAAATATTTTAAAAACAAACAGTACAGTAGTGTGTGTTTGTTTTATACACATCTAATGTCAAATCCCCTCATCTACAAATCAATCTCCTTCATACACCAATCATCTAAAATCACCTCTAGCTGAGCAGCTGTGAGCAGACTGCAGCCTGATTGACCTCCAGGTGTCCACGTTTTAATGCAAAGCACAAAAGAGGCATGGCTCAAACTTTCAGAAGATCCTTAAAGTGCGTTATAACCACAAGACAAGCTATTTTAATCCCCAAACGACGACTTTCTGTTTCTGCTCAGTACCACGAAGCAAAATGCAAAGCTTAAATGATGCCATGTGCTCGTCTTTATTAACAAGAGTCAAATAGTAGTGTAGTGAGGCATAAAAGAGCGTTATGATTGCTCAAATGCTGCTCTCAGGTCGATGGAGGGGCACTTACCTGGAGGAGGACCACCATATTTCCTCTGCCCATTGACTTGGGTTAAAGTGATGGAGTTCCTCTGCATCCATTCCTGCAGAGACTTGAGTTTCTGCGGGTTCAGAATCTGCCATCAAATTAGAGAGGGGATGTTAATGTTTTTGGCGTGGTGTATTGAGGAATTGACGGCCTTTCAAGTGTCAAACCGACACACACATACTAATAAACATTCGACCGAAAAGTTAAACTGTTTGCAAAACAGGCGTGTTGTTTATAAACGTGTAAATAAACTCGCTTACCTGCTGAAGCTCCTGCTGCTGGGCATCCATGTCTCCGACCATCTGTGATGATGATGATAGACACACCTGTAAATTGGTGGAAAAGTCAAGAAAAGGTCATTAAAAGAAACCTCATGACTCCTAGAGACGCTATTGGACTGTTGGAGCAAGTGGGCGGATTCTGTGAAACGCGCTCAAATTTCAGACCCTCAGAGGAAATTTCACTTAAGGTGTTTTAAGACAAGGCGTTTTAGACTGATGTTTGTTGTTTAATTCGTGTTTGGAGTCTTTATTTTCTTTAAGACGAGTGTTAGGGAACTTTTTAAGAAAGGAATTTGGTTAGAAACTACAAAGAGTTCACTCTTCGCCAGCAGGTGGCGGCCGTGCTTGTGAATTTTTTGTGAGTGAACGCCATTCTGGATACTTTGTTGCATTTTAACAGCCTAAATTAAATTAAGTTTGTTTGCTGACCAGTTGTGTAGAGTGAAATAGTGTTTATTGCAAGTCTTAAAAATACTTGTTTTGAAGAATAAGTGCTGTAACATGTTAGAAATGTGTGGCTTGCTCAACTTGTGTTTTGGTTCCTAATACAAACATCAAGTGGAAAAACCACGTTTGTCTGGAAAATAATAGACTACAGCCTTTTTAAAAAAAAATATTTAGCGTTATTTATCCTGGTTAGTAGTTTATTTTTTAATTTGTGGTTTTTGCAAAATTCTAAAAGTACAGTAGGGGAGAGCAGGGACAGTTGCAACACGGGGCAGTTGCAACAATTTATTTCTCCATTCAGGATTGAGCTAAATATGTTGATTATACATATTCTCAGTCAGACTCCTTCAATATGAGATAAATCAGCCATATGTGACCATTCCTTCAGTGTAAAACTAATTTTAAGGTAGAGCAATTTTTGTTTAATGTTCCAAATATTACCTTGCCTTCAAATAGGTAGCCACCAAGTGTTAAAGCTGTTGTATGTACCTACTGTAGCACAGGAAATTTAATCATGGTTGACTGAGTATGGAGTCCCTGATTACAGAAATCATTTAATAGGTTACTATATGAACAAGTAACTATTTTAATTTTATTACAGTTTAAATTTATTTAACTAAATAATTGTTTAGCAAAGGTTCATTCTAGATTTTCAGGAAATTTAACAAATATTATTGTTCAGGTTATTTTGTAGGCCTGATAATTGACCAAAACATGGTTGTTGCGTGTTCTTTTAATAGTCCGTATTTAAATTATCAATTAAAAATTGTAACCAATTTACAAAAAAAAAGTAAATAAAATCCAACCAGATGTTTTAGAATTTTTTTTATCAATACAATTCAATGAAAGTTGCAACCGTCCCAATGCTCGGGGTCAGTTGCAACATTTGACGTTGTTCAAGTTTAAATTCTGCTGTATATTATCATCTGTACAAATATAACAATGTGGGTGGGTGTCTGATAGATGTGGGTTTATTATATTAAAATTTTGGGTATCCACGAAAAACTGTCTCTAAGAAACTGAAGAAAATTCCAAAAGTGTTGCAGCTGTCCCCACTCCTCCCTGTAGTTTTATGCTGTGTGTTGGGCTGTAGCATTGCTTGTACAAGTCGTCCCCTTAGAATTATAAGATCCTATCTGAGATTTGTCAAAATTGAGTTGTTGAAATATATTCTTATTAAATGACAATTTATATTATGGGATGTTTTTTAATAAGTTGTTTACATTAAGACTTTTTATTTTATTTACAAAAACAAATGTTACACATACTGTTTGCTATGAAATGCCAAAACTTTGAAGCTCAATATTTCAAAATCAGTCAGAATGCAGATAGTTCTTATATTCCTTATTCCAAGGTGACAAAATGTATACATATTGGATTTATTATCCATAAAATAGCTCTTATAATTGTATGATTTTATTATTATAATGAAGAATAAAAATAGTAATACTACTACTAATAGTAGTAGTAGTAGTAGTCTTAATTATACATTAATCTTTTCACAATAATGTGTGCATGTTTTTTTTAAATGTATATTTAAATGTTTATTATTATTATTATTATTATTATTATTATTATTATTATTATTATTATGTGTTTAAAATGGCAGGGCATAAAGAGATTTTCCCATGTTTTTCAGTTATTAGGCGTCTCGCTGAGCTGAGTTTATGACCGTTTACGACCCCTAAACCATAAAAACTTTCCACAGAAAAACAATATCAAAATATTAATAATTTCTCTTATATTTTTTAATTGATTGTATTTTAAAATTATATATTTAATTTTGCAATAATTGTTTGTTGCTTATTTTTGCAAATCTTATTTTTGTTTCACTCCTTTTAATGTGTGTATATAATATTTAAAGATTTAAAGATGATTCCTTGGATTTACAATTTTTTTTTTTTTAAGTTAAATGGTTGTAAACAATTTATTTGGGCTGAATTTATACCAACAAATAAAGTTGAACATTACTAAGTTTTATTTGCTTGTTTAAATTCAACCCATATAATTTGTTTGCAACAATTTAGCAGAAATCATTTATTTCAGTGTACTTAAAAATTGGTTACACAACAACATTGTCAAACTGAAGTCTGTTCAGTTAAAGGGGAAGTTCACCCAGAAATTAAAATGATCATTAAATACGGTTTCTTTCTTTTGATGAAGAATAAAGACAATATTTTGAAGAAGGTTAAAAACCTGCAACCATTGACATCCATAGTAGAAAATGAAAAAAATAGTGTGAGCTATATCCCTATATTTTAAATCAATTTAACACTTTAAACTTTTTTATTTATTTATTTATTTATTTTTTATAAATGTTACAAAACTGTTTATTAAAGTGATTGAAATTGTAGGCTATTCCTGGCCAAGATATGAAAATGTGGAGTTTTTTATTAATGTAAATTTAAATGTATAATAATAATAATAATAATAATTATTATTATTATTATTATTGTGTGTTTAAAATGGCAGTGCATAAAGAGATCGGCCCATGTTCAGTTATTAGGCATCCCGCTGAGCTGAGTTTATGACCGGTCATGACCCCTGGACCATAAAACTGTCCACAGAGAAAAACAGCAGTGAATCTTCCTTTTCTTTTTTCTTTTTTGTTGCTTGTTGTTCTTGAAGATCTCATGTGTTTGTCTTGTGTAGCATTGCTTTGTTATATATATATATATATATATATATATATATATATATATATATATATATATATATATTCTCACTTAAATTTTGTAACTTGTCATAATTACAATACATTTCTTACAGAAATATAAAAATTATAGAGAACATAAACATTCATTTATTCATTTTCTTTTTGGCTTAGTCCCTTCATTAATCCGCCAACTTATCCAGCAAATGTTTTACACAGCGGATGCCCTATCAGCTGCAACCCATCTCTGGGAATCTCAGGGTGTTTATTTGCTGAAATGCGTAAATGTTTTACACAGCGGATGTCCAGCTTCAACCCAGTACTGCAAAACATCTATTTACACTCATTCACACACTGGCCAATTTAATTTATTCAATTCATCTATAGCACATGTCTTTGGACTGTGAGGAAAACCGGAGCATACAGAGGAAACCAACGCCAACATGAGGAGACTCCACACTGAAATGCGAACTGACTCAGCTGGGACTCAGCAACCTTATTGCTGTTAGGCGACAGTGCTAACTACTGAGCCACCGTGTCACCCTCTACAGGAAAATAAGTGTATTTTTATAGAAAGATTTCTTTGGGTTTGCTAGTGTAACGGAGGCCAGCTAGTAAGTGCTGTGCAGGTGAACTTCACTCCTCTGACCTCTAAAGGTGCTCTAGCAACAATCGCTAGAGGCTGTGGTCTTTAGCCTCCTTGTTAGAGCAACCAACTCCCATGCGGAAGGTTGCCAGTTCGATCCCAGCTCTGGGCTGGTTGGGTGGTGTAGGACCGGCGGGTAACACTAGCAATGCAGAAAGTGACTGAAGTATAGGAAAGTGTAGCTTTTTCTCTAGTTTAGATTTCTACTGTATGTTTTTAAAAGCAGCAGGCAACAGAGTTCACCGCACAGTATGCAAGAGTTCCGCTCCAAACACATTTTTTCACACTTCATTTTAAGCTGTCGAGTGTGAATAAATAATCTCAAGATATTTGCTACCTTTCTCTGTAACTCCACTTCAAAGGCCACGCTTGTTAAAACATGCATTACCAAAAGGGAAAGACAGAAAAAACACTCCGTACTCATCTTTACGAGGTGAAATGTAAAAGGCATCTATAGCTTCTTGCATGAAGAGCCAGCTTCACCTGTGGAAAATTAATATTAAAAATGGGCCCAGAAATTTTATTTGGAAAATATTTTCTTTTTACTTTTAGCACCGTATTTATTTATTCATTTTTATTTTTGCACATAACACTTTTTCTTACTAATTTTTTTTAAAAAGGAATGTTATAAAAGTTGTTCATCAAATACATTTAAGGGAAAAAAATATAAAAAATTATAAACTTTCCTTTGGCTTATTCCCTTTATTAATCCACACTTGTGGGTTGCCACAGCGGAATGAACCACCAACTTATCCAGCATATGTTTTACAAACCGGATGCCCTTCCAGCTCCCAGTACTGGGAAACACTCATACACACTCATGCACTCTATATGGCCAATTTAGTCTATTCAATTTACCTATAGCACATGTCTTTGGACTATAGGGGAAACCCACATGAACATGAGGAGAACATGCAAACTCCACACAGAAATGCTAACTGACCCAGCAGGGCTCGAACCAATGATCTTTTTGCTGTGAGGCCACAGTGCTAAGGACTGTGCCATTGTGTCGCAAAATATTAACAAATTTTAAAAGAGAAGTAATGAGTCAGTAAGCAAATGAAGTAAAATATATAAAAAAAACGTAATTTTTCAATATTATGTTTTGAAATAAAGTTTCAATAATTTAAAAAAGAGAACAAAAATCCATCTAATTAATAAACGTATATATTTGCTTACATAATTCACCCTCAGTTACTTTAAATATTGTTTTATTTATTGTTAATGTAATTAATAAATAATTTATTTTATATAAAAATATTAATCATTTAATATATATTTTAAATAATATTTTTTATTTAAAAAAGGAACGTTTTAGCAGTTATACGTCAAGCCAA